AAAAAAAAAAAAAAAGAAAAATTACCTTTCTTTTCCTGCTTTTCTGCTAGATGAGTCTCTGACTGCAAATGCTAACCCACAACCCAACCCTTGGATCACAGTTTTAATCTACAATTAACTCCTAAATGGCTTCCTTGGGTTTGTAACTTTGAATTTCAGATATGTGCTAACCACTCTCAAATTTGTCTCTGAATTAGGCTTCTTCTTGAAAATCCTTACACGTTATCAGGTGTCTAATGAACGCCTCAATTTGGATATCTCATGCACTTTCAAATTTAAAATAGCTAAAACAGATTTCTTTATTCCTTCTCTGTGACTCCCTTCACCCTCAAGCAGAACCTGGCATCTTCTTTTCTCATCCATATGTATAAATCCAAGAAACAGCATCGGTCTTCAGTCATTTAAGTGGGAGCCCTCGACGTCACTCTTGAATCTTACTCTCCTAAGAGCCACTAAATTTTCTCAGTTCTTCCCTTTACATGTTCCTCAGGTTCCCCACACTCCCCATCCCAGTGTCACCACCCTAAACCAGCCTATTGTTAAGCTTCACACAGATTTCTGAATCTGTTCACTGTTGATTATAGAGTTCCAACCTCCAACCCAAGAGATCTCACTCAAGCAAGCCTTCTCCCGCATTTGTGACTCCCTTTATGCTGTAGGATAAGACTTATGCTTTTACTGTTGTTCACGTAATTGCACAGTCAGGCATGTCTCTCTCTACATCCCAGCCTGCATTCCGCACTTCAGCAAACTTGGAACGTGGCCTGTGACTTTTTATCTGTGAATCTTCAAGAAAATTGTTTCTCCATGTGGAAAACTCTTTCTTTCTTTGCCTATTTAGCATTCACCTAATTCAAGTTTCAACTTGTGCATGACTTTTACTTGAGACATCATTAACCTCTTGGGCCAGATTTGGGTCTCCACATAAAGTCTGTAATAATGTATGATTTGCAATCTAAATGGTGACATGTTTTTTACTAAACATTTGGTTATCTTCTTTCTCCATGAACTGTGAGCTAGATCAAGGTGTTTCAAAGCTTGAAATATATTTTGAGAGACCCTATTTAAATAAAAATATGAAACATACCCACAAACACAGGAGTAAATATTCATTTATAACAAATCCCAATAAAATATAAAATTAAGAAAACTGACAAATATAAATATATATAATCATATGAAAATACTGCTGAGTTATTTTCAGAAGCCCAAAGCTTAAGCTACATTAAATGTCCAGTAAATCAGCATTTGTGTGTTAATCTTTTTCCAGAGTTCCATCCTTAATTCTAAGATCAGTGCTTACCATATAGCAGGTAATAAGTAAAATTCTTAAATGAATCTATTAACAGACTTATTACATTTTCATGCATGTAGCATTCAGCAATTTTTTCATAAATATTAGAAAATGTTTTATGTATTATAAAAATAGTTATTGCCTATGGTTATATTTCAAATGAGTGATATATGTATTATTAAGTTACAACATCAGCATGTCATTAGGATTTGTGCAAAAAGTACCTCTTTACTAAATAATAAGGCTTTATTTGCATCCAAATGTGAAGAATAGTCTCTGGATTTCTATTTTTATTGATTATGTAATAAAACATTGTAATTAAGTCTTAATGATTTTAAATAAGGAGAAAGCTACCTCTATTGTCTTCATAACATACTTTTGTAAACATTTATCTCAGGAATAAAAGGATACCAATATTTTATACAACCTAAAATATATAAAATGTTTTCTATACTATGAAGTTGTCCTCAATATACTATTACAGTTATTTGAATCGAACCAATAACGTATCATTCAAAAGATAATCTACGTGTCAGAAATCTTTGGTGCTTAGCTTGTTAAAATAAAAGTAAGTTTAGTTAAATTCCTTTTATAATAACACTGTACATTTGCCAAGAATTTGCTGTACTTATATCAAGATTGTCAGACCTCTGTGTGTGTGTGTGTGTGTGTGTGTGTGTGTGTGTGTGTTATAAAGTATGGCCTTCTGATCAATGTGCACTTTTCCCTCCATTTTCCTAAATACATCATGAAAAAAAGGATGAGGTTTCCGCCTTAATTGCTTGTGCCTTTTATTCACATTCCTCTCTCAGCCAGAATTGTGAAAAGAGTGTTAGTAAAAGGCTGCACAATAGAGCTTTTCATTAGGCCTCAGCAAGGCACACAAAAGAAGGCTTTTGGAAAGAGTGAATGCGTGAGTTTAATTTGCAGGTGGAGAGTAGATAAAAGGTGCTGACGCCTCTATTATTCTCTTACTTAGGTGACCCTTACCCTGTTCAGCTGATCCCAACTACCATGGCAGCTGCTGCTGCAGCAACACCAGGCTTAGGTCCACTCCAACTGCAGGTAAGTCAGGAAACAATGCAGAGGAGACAAAGGTTAAGTAAATATGGGCAACAGCTATTACTGCTATTACCGTGTTGAAGCAAAATGAAACTTACTAGTGGTATTTGTGTAACACTCTTTTGTTTTTAAATTTATTTATACTGATCCTCAACCAAAAGTTGAGATGTTGGTTCTTTTCATTGTAGTCCTGTTTTCTGTACTGAAGATAGCTTCTCGAATTTTTTATTGGCTAGCATGATTTAAGAATGCGTTGTAGTTTTTCTGATTCTTGCATGCCATAATTTTGTCATAGAATGATCCCTATCAAGGCAAAAAAGAACAACAACAAAATAAAAACTGTAAAAGAAATACAAACACTTATGGATCAAGGCAATCTAATAGAAATGACATTTAACCACTTGCCAGTGCAATTCTTTAAACACAGGATGACCAAAAATGGCATTTTAAAATTAATTTTTATAAGATAATAGGAAATATAAAAATGTCAATTTTATCAAACTGGGTCCATACGAGAATCGACTGGTTGAAATGACGCTTGGTATAATAATACTCGGTACATAACCAATACGGAGAGATGGTGGTACTGATGCCATCTGGCACTTGTTGCTGATATCTTTCTTTAGAACCATTAAAGAGTTGGTTGTTGTTGGCTTGTTTACTTGTTTTTGTTTTCTGTTATATTTTAATTTCTTCTTGTTTGTCCTAAGTAAAGAGTGGTGAAACCAGAAGTGTTGCTAAGGCAGCAGTAAAAATGATGAGTTGGGGTAACATCAGGAAGACCATCATGGTGGGAAGTTGTAATTGATATGAACCCTGGCAAAGAAAAAGTGATGATCTGAAAGAAACCTTATTCACTGGTAGAGAGGTTATATATTTTTAAACAAAACACACTGCTGTTTCCTTCTCCTTGGGCCTAAACATAATGAGTTTAATTTATATATAGGATGATGCTATAACAACTAAGATCACTTGCTAGCCAGGGTTTTTGGAATATTTTTTATGCTAGATTCTCTGGTAAGGATTTTAGGAGGATTATCTCATTTAATTCTTACAATAACATTTTACATTATATGTTAGTATCTTCCTGTGACAAAGAAAGGAGCTTGAGCACAGAATCCAATCTTCATGGTTTTTAAACAGTCATATTTGCTTTTCCGAGTACAGGAAATTTTATTTTAAACTTTGGAGACATCACTCCTCTTTATGACTTTTGCTAACTCAGTAACTGGCTAATCAAATTATTACAATAATGCTGATTAATTGGCACTAATACAAAGATTTTATATGCTTTGCAATATTAAAGGGCACAGTAGGAATTATAATGACAGCTGTCTACTTCAAACTCTGAATTTTCCATTTAATGCCTCTTTACACAGATATATATTAAGGCAATCATTTCTTTCTCAACACCTAGATCTAACACATAGCACTATTGATATATTCCTACTCATGGTTGACTCCATTTACTTACCATTTGTATTTCATAAATAACCCTTTGCGTATGATTCTTCACATGATATCATAAGTAAAACTAGAAGTTTTATTCTGATAAAATTCTTTGATAGAATTCTTTTTATCCTGAGAATAGAAATAAGTACTATCATTTTTAAAAACAAAATGGCAAAGTTTAAATAAAATAACTGTTTCTTAACTAATATTTATGTCCTTGAAATTCATTGCTTTGTAATAAAAATACTTTGTATCAAATTTCACCTTTCTGTGCACCTTTAAGAGCATTTAAAACATATTAAACAGACATATTTATTTCTTAGAGAAAAATTGACTGTATATATAAATAATACAAATTTACATTATATCAAACACTATTTCTTTTATAACAAATTTATTTTCTCTTCTACCTTTAAGTCTGTCCTAAGCTTTTGATCCACACGTTAATAAACCATATAAACACAGTACTTGTGGTCTTTCCTACCTTCAGACCCATTCCTTTTGTGGTCCTGCTGAATGCTTCTTTCCATCTGTTTCTCAACCGAGAAACTGGGGTTCGACCCTTAGCATCCATTGCCTCCCTCCTCTCTGCTCACTCATTCACTGTCTGTTCATCTTACCTATTAAAATATTTGGAGAATCCATTTATTTCAAAGATAACTGTCCCTCTTCCAGGCCAAGGTACCCTTATTACTTAATTCACCACAGCAGTCCCTGAATGGACCTTTCTTCTTCTTGCCCACTGTAGTACATTCCCTACTATATGTTACAATGAACCTTTTGATTAAAAAAAATATATATAT